AAAGCTCCTACAAGAAATGTGAGCATTACACTTAGACCAGGGAACAACAGGAGGAAGAGACCAGGTTTGACTTATCATCCATCTTTTACATTATAGTGATCGCCAGATGTTCACACCACATCTGGTAGAAGGGTCATTTACATAGCAAAACCTCCCAAAGAAGAAACAAGACAAAGAGTAGCATTAAGTTTGCAGTCGGTTAGATATGCTGGCCGTGCCTCGCTCCACAAAGATGTGTTGTCCAATTCCTCAAGACACCTTCAAAGGTCCTGTGATGGTCTGTTAAGTGCAAAACTCCTTTGGGCTTTGGTCTGATAGTCATTACCTTAAGGCTCAGCAACATATTTTTAATATTATTTCTCAATTAACAGTTTTCAGGATGGAAATAGAATGAGTCAAACTGTAGATGAGATATTGTAAATAAACTGGCGACATACCACAACCTTGCCCAATACCTGAACTGGTTTTAGTTCCCTTAGCTGGGAAATGCGACCCTGACAGATACACCAACAACTTGAGATCGACACCAGAACTCTCAGAGCCACAGAAACACAAAATCAACCCATTTGATAAGGCGCCAATTCTCACTGGGCATTAGCCATCCCTGTGGACCTCCTACAGAGCTACTTAGCTTTCATGAGAAGAATCAAGCTAGACAGCTTCTCAATTGTCTGCCTATTTTAAAATACCTGGCTTATAGATGGACTGCTTTTTTGTGACACTGGAATAAGTGACACGCAAAAAGATCATAAGTAGAGCCGGGGAGCAAAAAAGTGAGAGAAGAGTAAGTGGAGCAGAGTAGAGGCAGGGAAGTAGAAAGTAACAAGGAGGATGAAAAAGGTTACCAATTAAGCCTCATGTCCATGTGAGAAGAGATCATTTTCTAAAAAAGTTTTTGTGACTGTGAGTGACTGTGACAGGCTATCAAGTTGTTGGGTAATTTCTTGACAAGCTGATCCCTCATTTAGCCTCGGGGTTTGTAGCTGCCCCTGAACAAAGTACCTGGTTCATTTCTCTACTTGCTCCTGACAACTAGCTCGAAATATGATCCAAGGTGAAGTTAAACTTTTAATCTGCTTTTCTCTCTGCTCTATTTTGTCACATATACTGAGCCTAAACGCATACGGCAGATGCACAAGAATATCTTAAAACAGCTTTATGTGTGCCGTGAAAAACAATATTTGCCTAATAAAATTCAGGAGTGTGTTTTGTTTTGCAAAAGGATTGTAAACTAGTGAATGCTAATGTGGTAAGGAGCTTTTCTTTCAGTTCACCTTGAAGATGACATGTAGCACTTGTTTGAAAAAAGTCCCCAGGCAGAGAGCTTTATGCAGCAGGAAATCCGTAAAGCAGAGGTGGGATCAATCAAAGCACCCCCCCACTATTTCGGAATAATTGGAAGGTGGTGGTGAGATAAATATAAACGCCACTCTGGGAAACACACAACGTCAGATTATACAAAGTGAGATTTTTGCCCTGAAACTTTCCACTGTGTTCGTCAGAATGTAAATGCAGCTTAAAGTGAACAGGTGTCTCTTCTCTTGTGCTGACGTTGTTTATGACAGTGTAACACTGAGTCTAACAAAACCGTATGGGTAGAAATCCTGCAAAGCAATAAATCACCTAAACAGATAAATATGATCAAATCTTCAAGAAACAACTCAATTTTTTGTCCCCCCTCATTTCTTTTGCATCTGCAGTAAAGTGAAAAAAATAATTTGGGCGT